GCCAAATGGAAAACCAAGGGACAGGTCCAGGAAAAAGTCACGTTACACAGAATATTGGAGAACATGGAAAAATCAATAGAAAAGAGGGAATGTACAGACATCAAGTCTCTCATAAGACCATAAGAATGGCCATACTGGGTCAGGCCAAAGGTCCATCTAGCCCAGTATCCTGTCTTCCGATATGCCAGGTGCCCCAGAGGGAATGAACAGAACAGGTAATTATCAAGTGATCCATCCCCTGTTGCCTATTCCCAGCTTCTGGCAAACAGAGGCTAGGGACACCATCTCTTCCCCTCCTGGCTTATGGCCATTGATGGACCTATTCTCCATGAATTTATCTAGTTTCTTTTTAGCCCTGTTATAGACTCTCTCTGAAGATCCCATAGTAAATATTCTGGGGATAATTTAAGATCCTAGAAGTAAAGATTGCTTGATTACATCTTTCTATTGCTATGGCATTTTGAAGAAGCTGAGATTCTGAAATCTAAAATCCCCCACTACCGATGACTGTCATTGTAATACTAGTCTCACAGAGAGTATGTCTAGACAGCAATCATTTAGTGTAACTGCAGTTCAAGTCAACGTGCCTGAGCTAGCTTGAATCTAGCTAGCTCAGATCCCAGAACAGTGAAGCCACAGCAGCTTTAGCACAGGCTGGCCCTGTGAATAGTTACGCACAGTTCCGAGAGGGTTTATGCAGCTCATGCTGGCTTCACTGCTCTGAGACCCAAGCTAGTTAGATTAACTCACCCACAGTGATTGAAGTCTAGACATAACCAGTGAGCGAGAGAGAATGCTGCAAGCAGCTAATTGAAGTACTTTGGATAGACATATTTTAAATAAATCAAAATAAATCATAAAAATAAAACTAATAGTTGGGCAGAGTTATGGCAGGTTGACTTCCTCCCAGGGCATACCTCTTTTTGAGGCCTGGTCTACACTACACAATTAGGTCAATGTAAGCTGCCTTGCATTGACCTAGCTGTGGAAGTGTCTTCACTTAAATTTGGCTCCCGCCAACGTAAGTGCCTCTCTGTGCTTATATAGTAATACCACCTCCCTGAGCAGTGTAGAGTCACGGTCAATGTAATTAGGTCAACGAAGTGTCAGTGTAAACACTGTATTGCTTATTTCAACCAGAGTGGGGTTTGTATGCCCCATCACGCTGCCTGAGAAAGGATTAATGTTTTGATGTCAATGGTAATGGAGCATGGTCTAAACATAAGATTGTCTGGGTACATTTGTAACATTGAGATTTGAATTTAGAGAGATTCCTCCTGAAGATAAATATATATTTATTCCTCATGACACTAAGAGTATTATATGTACTACACATTATAATTACTTGCTCTAGTTATACCTTGCTAACGCTCAGGTTTGAAAATGGAAAATGAAGTCTATCGGAAACACAAGAGAACATTAAACCCATCTGTTGTACAAAGATTTGAACTCTAAAGTTGTCAGCTACTGAAAATTGATTGCAACTGAAATTATTGACTTTGTTATTGATCTGTTGATTGGCTTTGGATGGAACTAAGGCTTAATATTGATTGTGGTTGATGAACTGAAAATATAAAGAAAGTAGAAATGAAAATATTAATCACATGATAAAATATTATTTTAGAGTAGTGCATCTGATTGTGAACCTCTGTTAATCACTGCATTGTCCTACTGCTGCCAACAAGACCCCGAATGAAAAGCATTGTAGGAGTTCATTTCCTGACCTCTTTTGACCATGGTACTATTGTCGGATGCAGCCCCTAAGTTTGAGATTTAAGAGAAGGATACTGCAAACACAAATTAATGAAATTAAGTATTTTTAATTAAGCTACAGCCATACTCAAAGCAACCAAAATTAAGTGGAAGATAATATACATCCGCGTTTTAAATTGTGCCTAACTTCTACTGGAGTCAAAAGCAAGGACAAAGTGCAAAAAAGCTATTTCTTTTGATGAATTGCCTGATTAGATTCTGATTCACTTTTATTATACCTTGTAACATTTAACATGGAATGACACTAGAAACATTAAAATTGCTATAAATCTTGCATATAAAAGCATGAAATCTTGCTGCACTGTTACACAGTTATGTGAATTCTCACTGTACTGAAAGTTCTGCTTCATTTCTGTTAGTTAATTACATTTGAGAACTGTGTAACTGATTTTCCGTCATTTGCCTGACCATATGATACCTAATATGCTCCAACATCCTGGAGTTACCTGATCATTTCCCTAGAAGTGAATATGGACTATTCTTTCTTGGAACTGGCATATTTCATTTTAGGGGCCAAATTCTGGTCTTATTCATCGTTTATAGGGCCAGAAGGGACCACTGTGATTATCTAGTCTGACCATTTCTAAAACCAACCTCCTGTATAGCATAGGCCATAGGGCTTCCCTGAGCATATCTTGAAGGCAGTGTGAGATTTGACTTCAAAAGGACCAGGATTTGAACCTAAGTGGGTAGTCTTTGGCCCATATCCTGCCATCAGTTTTTGAGGAAGGCTTTCTATAATTTCATAGGGCATTCAGGGCATAAAAAGGTTATGATATGACTGTCTGGAAATACCCCATTTTTATTCTTACAGTATCTTTGCAGACAGAAATGGAATTATGTACATTCAAAAGCACCTAAATGATTTAGGATCCTAAATCCTCCTTTCAAAAGTAACTCAGACACTTAGGAGCACAAGTCACATTGATTTTTTCAATGAGATTTAGGCTGCTAAGTCACTTTTGAAAATTTTACTGGTAGTTCTTTTATTCAAGACCATAATACGTTTAATGGAGGAGTGAGGTATGTGATACAGTGATGACGAATGTGAATTGTTAGTGGCAAATCACTGTCTAAAAAATATGATCATTTAGACAAGATCCATCATTACAACTAAGTGATGGTGATCATGTCAGAAGAAGAAATTGAACTGGTCTCATAAAACAAAATGCGTCAACATGTTCCTTGTCAGATGCACATTTTAGTATCTTACATCACCGAAACAAAATATGAGCTGCATATTCAAAAAAAATGTTTAATTGTTTATGGGTGGGATTTTCATACACTCCTGCGTAATTTAGGAACACAAGGCCCGCTGAATGGGCAGCTTGTGCTCCTAAATTCCTTAGTCACTTTCGAAAATCCCACCCTACTGCCATAACATTTAGAGACAAGTTCTAACCATAGCAGATTTGCTTGAGATTCATGGTAATGGCAATCCCGTGTCTGAGATTAATCCCTGAAGATTCAGAACTATGTACAGATTAAACAAGAAGTGGTTACACTACTCTGTAATTTATATTTGTTGATTTTATTATGCATCTTTTTTAAAAGCTACCTAAGATCAATCAAATGAAGAAAAAAAAAGAAAAGCATAGCAGAAAAGCCTGTAATTTAAGAATTATTAGGCTGGCATGTATGTGGAAGCTATGTCATAATTTATATCTTCCTTGTACTTTTGAAGAAATTAATCTAATGTGGGGGGTCTCTAAAAATAGATTACAACAATTGTTTTCAGTTTAAAATCCATCAAATCCTTCTCTCTAGTTGATAAGATTCAGTGGTGGGACCAAAATCCGCAGGCAATATAGCATATGGGTCTAATTTTAAAAGGTGCAAATCTTTGGTTTATATTGGGAAAGAACACAAGATGTAGCAATCTTATACTTCATTAGAGGTTGTTTTAGAACAGAGAATTGACAACCACAATTCAGAATTATCCTTGGTTGTATCTACTATATACTGTTATATACAATAACCCTACCTGAATATACTCTGATATACACCTCTACCTCGATATAACGCTGTCCTCGGGAGCCAAAAAATCTGACCGCGTTATAGGTGAAACCGCGTTATATTGAACTTGCTTTGATCCACCGGAGTGCGCAGCCCCACCCCCCCCGGAGCACTGCTTTACCACGTTATATCAGAATTCTTGTTATATCGGGTCACGTTATATCGAGGTAGCGGTGTACAACAAATGTCCCCGTTTACTTTCTTCCCTGATATTAAAGTTTAAAGGAAATTGTGAAGATGCATTTTTATTTAATTATGTTAAAATGCACCTTGATCCAGAGAGTCTATGTAAACTCTGATGCGCCATCTATGCCCCATTTAAATCTTGTATTAAAGACCTGAGTGTAACTTAAGTAAACCACGGGGCTTTCTGCCAGCCTCGGTGAAAGCCTGCTTCTGGCTTCCATTGAAGTCAATGGGAATTGTGCCATGGATATCTATGGAAGCAGAATTGGGGTCATGATTTGAAGAGCATTATTTTAATTATAAATAAGATATGTCTCATGTTTTTTCAATAAAACAAAACAACTTCCTCAGTGACCACTGCAGCTGCATGTATATTAGTTATGAACATAGTCCTCCAGAAAATGTTCTGAACAAAGTTATTTAGGTTGAGATTTTCAGAGGAGTCTAAGGGCATTAAGACCCAAATCCCTTGGCTCTAGACAAGATTTAACCACAATCTGTTCAACAGTCCAAACACTGAGTGATGAAAGCCCTTCACAAGTTACCAGCGCTAGGTGAAATTTGAGATTCTGTGCATCGGGCTCCTGTAGTGGATTTGGCAGGGGTGACATGAGTGTCACTTTTAAAGAGGAAAACCAAAATCAGACTGTTTTTGGATGCTCTGGCAACTTTGGATGGTTAGTTGGTTCAGCTAATGAACCCCACCGATTCTGGTGAGGAAGGGAATGAGGCTTCAGCAACATTTTACAGACGATCACAGCTGACGTCCAGATCACAATGTGCCACAGTAAAACACATGGGGGAGGGGGAGTGCTCAGGGGTAGGAAAACTCCCCTGGTGATTTTCTCCACATCATTCAGTCTACTTGGCAGGGTGTAGTGGGGGACAGGTTTGGCCCCACCCCTTTTTATGGGCCCGGCAAGGGGACAGCCCTCTGGTGCGCTAATAAGTGTAACATTTTTGATGGCTTTAGAATAATTGTTGCTAAACATTAAATGGAAGTGTGTTTTTTCATTTGTCCCTAGGCACGGTGGGATGGTTTGACAGGGCGCATTACCTTCAACAAAACAGATGGCTTAAGAAAGGATTTTGATTTGGACATTATTAGTCTCAAGGAGGAAGGAACAGAAAAGGTAACTAACTGTGTTCAAACTGTGAGCCACACAGTACAGTCAGTGGGACTGTGCTTACTGAAAGGCGGACCTCATAAACCATGAGGATGAAAACCTAATTTGACAGTGATATCTTGAAGCCCATTCCTCTTGACCTACATTTCCTATGGTTGAAAAAAGCTCGTCCTAGTTTTTACATTGTTTGGGTTAAAGTTGCAACACAGATTGGGAGAGAGCAAAGGAGCAAGAGGGGGCGAGGAAGCTGCCCTGCAGAAGATTAAAGCCTGGAGCAGGCTAGCTAAATGAGCCAACAGGAGACACCTGGTAGCTGATTCTTTATAAAGGAGCTAAGTAGCTCTTATGGGGAAGAGGAGGAAGACTGACTCTGAGAGGCTGCTGGGGAGTCAGCTTTGGGCAGAGCAGCTACAAACTAGACCTGGAGTGAGTTGCCTCATAAGAACTGATCAGACAGACTTTGTGAAGGAACCACTTTTTTCCCCCTCACCCAGGCTCTGAGGTAAGAGCCATGCCCTGAGACAGAATTTTGGGACTCTGTGAGTAATTGGGGAATTTCCCTTTTAAGTTTATTTGGCACCCCTCCCTCCAGAAAGGAGCCCAAATGAGCCGTGTGTTGATGAAACAATCTTTCATTAATGTTTCTTGCACTCTTATGAAAGGAAACCACCTCCCCAGATCCTTGTGGGAGGAAAGATGGTAGGGCTAGGGGAAAGAGACAGTCCATCCCTCCCTCACCCTCCTACATTTAGTGTCTGAATAGGGACTTGATCTCCCCTCTCCCAAGAGAAGCCAGAAAGGAAATATTACAATTAATAATATAGCAGCAAGAGATAGAGAAGGAGTGAAATCATCAGTTCTAGGAGGCCTTACAACCCCCCATCCCCCATCAGTGCATGGAGAAGGGCCAGCTGGCCAAACAGGAATAGAATTGATAGTTCCAAGCCAAGGTGGCCAGGCTGTTCATGCAAGGTTCACTGAGCACTCCCATGAGGGTGCTCTTTGCTGAGTCTCTCCCAGGGCCCACCCTAACCAAACTGACTAACTCCACCTCAAAATCTTCCTGACAACATTTGAGTGGGTGGCCACCACTGGCTATGAGAGGAGCTCCTGGGCCACCCAGATTGCCCCTTATCTAACCAGGTGAGCCCAGACTGCTTACAGGGCCCTATGTGCAGATAAAGCCCAGTCCTACTCTACCCTGAAGCCTGCCATATTGGATTGGTTTGGACTCTCACCAGTGGTCTATCATAGGAAGTTTCAAGAGGAAACATTTCCAAAAGGAGGCAGCCCACGGGCCATCACCCAACAGCTCTGAGATTTGGCTGGCTGACACCAGAAACCAAGACCATGGGCAACGTCATATATAGCATTGTTTTGGAACAGTACTTACAAATTCTCCCAGTAGCAGTAAAAGCCTGGGTCCATTGGTTCCACCCAGCAACCATTGCAGAGGCCGTGGAGATGACAGAAAGCTTTTTGGAGGCAGAGGCCCCAGGCCTTGGGAGCACCACCCCTTTCTGCTTCCCCACGGTAACTCAAGAGTAATTGGAGATGCACTAGGTTTCAGCACCCCTGGAACATGGAGGTGCCCACACTACTTGGCCCCCTTGATGGACAGAGCCCCTACCTTCCTGGGGATCTCAAGTGGGTGGTGCTCCAGGCGCCAGAGTGGACTTCATCTACCTTTCAAGAGGGTGTGATCATATGTTATCAGTGTGGGCAGTTGAGACACATGCAGTGAGAGTGCCCCCTCCTGGAGTGTGATTATTTAGGGTGTCACTTTGGCCAACAGGGCAAGACCTCATACCTGACAAAGAGGGATGCCAAAAGACCCTTCTTGGTTCCCATCAAGTTAGACCACACCTCATAGATGGGCTGATGGACTCTGGCTTTGGGCAAATGCTCCTGCACCAAGATTTGTTCCTGCCCAAAGCCTTCTAATCCAACCGAACTGTCCAAATCTTCTACATACATGGGAAAGATGCACTTATCCGACTGTCCCTATTATCTTACAAGTAGCTGACAACATAGGGTGTCTCCAGGTGGATGTAGTGGAGCACCATCCTTGGCCTGTAATCCTGGGTCACGATTAGCATACACCTCCCCATGCTCCTGAATAGAAACTCAATGCCCCTTACCCCAGGCAACTCTCAAGGGCCCAGTAAGACTTAGGCCTGTGCTGGGGCTGTACCCCTGGGGCCTGGAGAGAGTCTATCCCGAGAAGAGGACCCCCGGAACAGACCTCCCAATAGACCCCCATCACACTCCGCCCCAAAGCGAGTCAGAGACCCTTAGACTAGATGACACCTTTGACTTCATCACTGCTCAGGATGAAGTTCAGACCCTCCAAGAATGTTTCAACTAGGTAGCTGTGATCAATGGGGAAGCCACCTAAGAACACTATTATCCAACAGTTTCCCCATTTCATGTTACATAATGAAATTCTGGACTGGGTGAAGAAACAACCTCACAGGTCCAACTCCTGGTTCTCAAACCAGCTCATCAAGAACTGTTGAGACTAGCACGCTCTGTCCTGATGACTGGACATCTGGATAAGGCAAAGACATTTGGAAAACTACTGGCCCAATTCTTTTGGCTGAGTATATTTTAGGAAGTAGTGGATTTTTATTGTCCTGCCCGGATTGACAGAAGGTAGCCCCTACGGAACGAGGCCAGGCACCCTTAATATCCCTCCTTCTTGTAACAGGATAAGGTAGGGATTGACATCGTAGGCCGCCTTGAGAAAAGTGCCTGGGGTCACATTTATTTCATACTCATCAGCTATGGCACAAAGTAACCAGAAGCTGCTCTCTTGCAGAACCCTATCACTTCCACCCTCATGCAGGAGCTACTGCAAATCTTTTCCAGGGTAGGCCTTCCTTCAGAAATTATCAAGGGGACTTGTTTCCCTTAAAGATTTGACTCTGGATCTTGGTCCTACCATCCTCAGACCAATGGCCTTGAATGGTTTAATCAGACTCTTAAGTTGATGCTAAGAAAGTTCGTTGGGACAGAAACCAGAGACAGGGATCAATTGCTGCTGTACCTTTTATTTGTGGCACACAGGAGTTCCACAGGCATCTACTGGCTTTTCCTCTTTTGAAATTCTCAATGGAAGACAACCCCGGGGTATCTTAGATCTGGTCGAGGAGTCATGGGAAACCCAGCCTACCCATTTATGTCCTCCACTATGTCCTACAAATGAAAGAGAGGCTGGAGTGCCTTGGTCATTTTGCCAGGGCCAACCTATTCCAGGCCCAATAGAGCCAGGCCTGGCAGTATAATAAGGAAGCTAGGATGAGGGTATTCCAGCCTGGCAACCAAGTCATTCTATTTCTCCCCAGCTCAGAGAGCAAACTCCTAGCCAAATTTCTGGTCCCCTATGAGGTACTCTATGTGTTGGCCCAGCTGATTACAAGGTTTACTACCCAGACTGACAAAGGCCACAGGAGATCTACCATCTGCTGTGACCTTGGAGGGTGCAAAATATCTCTTCATCCATCCAGAAAGAGATGAGGAGTTAGGACCCCAGCTCCCAGAACTAGTTGCAGTAGGGGTCAAAGGGATCCAACTTGGTAATGGGTTGTCCACTGACCAGAGAGGTCAATTAGAGACCTGGTGTGGGCATACTAGGACGTACTTTACCCATTGCCAAGACAAACCTTGCTGGTCAACCACTACATTCAGATAAAACCCAGTTGAAGCCTGAAGCAGGCTTGCTAAATTTACCTGTCCTGAAAGGATTAAAATCCCATTTAATACAGGAGGTCCAGGAGATGTTAAAGCTAGGCATAATTAAAACATCAAAGTCCCTGGTGTAATCCAATGTGATCCTTGTCCCTAAAGCAGATGGGACCGTTCGATTCTGCATAGACTTCCACCAGATAAACATGATCCCTGACTTCAATGTACTGTATACCTTATCCCCCGAATTTGTGATGTGCTCAATGGGCTCAGCAAAGCCTGATACATTTCTACATTAGATTTCACTAATGGTTTTTGACAGATCCTGCTCTCCCCCAGTTTCCATGCCACGACTGCCTTCTTGACCAGTGTGGGACTGTTTCAGTTCATTAATACTGCCTTCAGGTTACACAGTGCCCTGGCCACTTTCAAACACTAATGGACAAGGTGTTATGGCCACATTAGCTCTATGCAGCAGCTTACCTGGATGATGTGGTAGTCTATAGTCGGAACTGGCCAACTCACCTCAGAGACTTAGCTGCCATCCTTCAGACCCTACAGCAGGGGTCAGCAACCTTCAGCACATGGCCCATCAGGGTAATCTGCTGGCGGGCCAAGAGACATTTTGTTTATGTTGATTGTCCACAGGCACAGCCCCCCGCAGCTCCCAGTGGCCGCGGTTCACCGTTCCCGGCCAATGGGAGCTGCGGGAAGCAGCACGGGCTGCAGGGATGTGCTGGCTGCCGCTTCCCGCAGCCCCCCATTGGCCGGGAACAGTGAACCGTGGCCACTGGGAGCCGCAGGGGGCCGTATCTGTGGAAGGTCAACGTAAACAAAATGTCTCGTGGCCTGCCAGCGGATTACCCTGACGGGCCGCATGCCGAAGGTTGCCAACCCCTGCTCTACGGGATGCCAATTTAACTGTAAACCCAAAGAAATACACTTAAGGGAAGCAGGAGACCACCTACTTAGAGTGTCTAGCACAGCGGTTCTCAAACTGGGGGTCGGGACCCCTCACGGGATCGCGAGGTTATTACATGGGGGGTGACGAGCTGTCAGCCTCCACCCCAAACTCCACTTTGCCTCCAGCATTTATAATGGTGTTAAATATATTTAAAAAAATTATAAGGGGGTGGGGGGTCACACTCAAAGGCTTGCTATGTGAAAGCGGTCACCAGTACAAAAGTTTGAGAACCACTGATCTAGCAGGAAACGGTAAAGTACAACCCTTGGTCGACAAAGTGGAAGCCCTAGCCAACACACCCATTCGAAGAATAAAACAAACAAGTTTGGGCATTCCTTCGGCTGGCAGAGTATTA